AAAGGTGGGCTCAGAAATATGCATATATTTCGGAGTTACGATATTAGTACACGAAAACAGAAAATGAAAAAAACAATAAACGAATTCACTCGATTATTGATGAGTGCGTTGGTTTGCACTGCGTTGTACTAGGCACCATTTTTAAAAACGGCCAGCTAGTAAGTTGAGGAGTAACCAGAGATCTCCTGGTTGTGTGGTCCTTTCGAGTCTGATCTTGTGAACGAATGATGGCTAGTTACGGAAGCTGGTAGAAACGTATTCACGTTTGTTCGGATCCATGTCCTCTGCGTGTCTAGTTATTAAGACGTCTAGCATCTCTTTAACATCAATCAATCACTGGGTTGACCTTATTTATCATGTAATGTTGATTTGCCAAACTGTCTCGTATTGGTTCGTCATGCTTTGACAGCCGAGTTTATGAGTGCACACATCGGGTACCCAGTCAGTCCTGTTGGTTTTCTCTCAGAACCAGTCACAGACTTTAGTATTCACTGTGAGTTACAGCAACCTCGGAGTGATATTGTGGGGTGTATTCGCATAAATCATATGCAATTGGTGGATGGAAATCAATTCTTCTCCTTGTTGTTACCCGTCCTTGAAACAGTAGCCCGTGATTACCAGATTCACCGAACTACGTGAGGTTGATTTTCGTGGGAAATTCAGATCTATCATGGACTCAAAGAGAGGGCTGAAAGCGGTACCGCGGCAAATGACTTTATGCACCAAAGTTAGCAGGTACGGTATGACAGACAAGCGAAGTGCAGAAGAACACGAACTCTGTTGCAATAACATAGTTACAGAGCACTAGATCAGGTGATCATTGTGGCAAATGGAACCCAATTTAAGTGATAAAAGGAGTAATTCAGTGCAGTTAAAACAAATCGAAGGACTCGGTAATTACCAAGCCATGATGGTTATGCTTAACCCGAAGTGACCAGGTCCTGAAATCACATCTCTATAGTGTCTTCTCCAGATAAGGTTGTGGTAAAAATCCAGGCTGCTGTCCTCAGAATCACCTTGTCCTAATCCAGAAGAATATTCATCATGCGTTCCCTTTGGTTTCAGAATCTATAAATCTAGTATAAACCAAGTGCAGGGTAAACTTATCATGAAATATGGGAAATCAGCTGTTCGCTGAGGGCCGACATTCCAGCGTACTTTTCATTGAGTGCTACAAAGATCTACCCTCCACGTTCTTCATATATTGTCTGTGTTATGTAAAAATCCTATCAAAACCATTCCAACTTTTGGAACTCCTCATCTTGCCGCAGGGTTGTCTCACCGTTACACGTTGAACGTGCTCTTTGGAGTGATGACATATTAAGAGTGTTTCGTTTTAGAATGTGGGACGTGACAGAATTGTTGATGATCATGTTGCAAACGGTCAGTAGAATCAGACTTTTTGCACGTCAACAACACCAGGGCAGTGTAGTTTCATGGAGGAAAATACTCAAAAGGTTGTTGAAAAGTCTTCAGTAGACTTGTGAGCAGTTACCTTTAAGTAAATTCACTCACGGTCCTTTGACAGTGAGGTTTTTAGAAAGCCCGGATCACCGACTTGTCTCAGAAAAACGACCTGAATTATAGGAAACTTAATGAGGTGAAATAAATGGATCTGCTTGAAAGTCTTCTCGTCTCGCTTTTTTCTCCGTCTACTAATCCGTTTGACCTCACTTCCTGAACATTGGACAAGATTATGGCTATGGGAAAGATCGTTTCCTCTTTTCTAGTGTCCCACCAATTTTCATTTAAATGTGTAGATAGAGGTACACACTCATCAGCTTCCAAAAGAGGGGCTACAACTCTAGGGATAGGGGTATATTGTGTCCTGAAGTAGAAGACAGATAACGGTATTGCAGATACTACTCATAAAGACAAACCTGTCTATTGCCTGTATGTGCATCAGCTGTGTGAATTTTGTGCAACGGGTGCTGTGAGCCGTTATGATATTATCGGAGGTGAATGGCTCCGACTGATATGATTCTGACTCAAAAACCTTCTTTTAAATAGGACTCGACTTTTTGCATACGCTACCAGACCATGATGAGACAGAATGCTAGTGGCAATCAATAGATTTACCTGTCAGAAGGATTCATGCTTACACCGTCCGTATTAATAAGATTATCAGTACCAGTGCCACTCTCCAAGAAGATAGATCTGGCAGCTTTATGAAATTACTGTGCTAATGGGGTATACGGTTTACGGCGCTGTGAGACAATCAATGCCACTTTTCAGTTGTATGTTCTGGTCATTGTGACGAAAGATTTCGCAACTCCATATGAATTGTTTATCAAAAAAGGTGCCATACGTATTAGGACTGACAAGGAAGCAAATATATTCAGTAAAAACTGGCCACAAAAATGGCTAACCGTATTGTTCAGTAAAACATTTTCAAGCAAAACGAACGATTTCAGCCCACTCCCGACTGTTGTTTTGGAAACGGAAACCAGTGTTTTCCGTGTTAAAAATCCCGATATTCCGCATCTAACTACTTGACTTTTAGTGCTAAGAATAAGGGAATTTCACATTTTTTTGCATTTTTGGAATTTTCAGATAAAATGCAGCGTTTGTTGCTATGTGAATGCCTCAATTAAACTGGACAAGAAATCTAATTTTTTCATAGCTATCGTTATCCATTTGGTATCATACGATCAAGATATAGATAAAATCGGTACGGCAATCTATCACTGTACATTTATTTAAGAAAAGACCAGCCAATCCCACCCGTCTCTCCACTTTCTACTCAGCAAATAATGCACGGCCACGCATCTCAGCGTCCCTTATATGGAGCAGATGACTCAGCCCGCCCAGTTGGCTCAGCCGAATCAACTAGTCGACGAGCAATCATTTTGTCGCACCTCAAGATTGCTAATTCGATGTCTCCATGATGCACGCGCAACGATGGTCGAAGGACGAGCAATCTTCTTTTGTCTTCAGCGCACAGCGACTAGGCTTCACGACCCTAAAACAACACGACATACAGTCGCACTGCCTTTCGCCGACAGCCTAATGTCGCTTCGATCCCGAAGATGCCTACATTGAATACGAGCATGATCATCTTTGGCGTCTTCATTGTTTACTTCTTCTGCAATACTGCCATCTGACGTGACCCAGAAAGGTAGATCTGTCCACTACTTTTAGCGGTTCTGAGCCATGATGTTGCAGAGCGTGACAATATCAATTAGATTAGTTCGTGTATCTGGATGAGATTTGAACCAAGTGGTGGACTATCGTCCGCATATCCAATTCTCTAAGCTCTTCACCATGAAGAGGCATCACACCAGGAAGAGAAGACATTGCAGACATTTTTTCGATATGTAATTCGATTGGCAGGTTGAGGATGAAGGAGAACTCTTGAAGGACACCAATTTAGACGGTGAACTCAGAAGAATCCTCTCCATAGACTGCCATACTCCAACGGATGTTGAAGCATAAGGGTAGGAGAAGTTTAGCAAAATTATTCGGCGTACATCTGAAGGATAGACCGCCACAGAGTAGTATTACCAAGCCCATTCGAACGGTGGCTTTAGATTCAAGAAGACAACAATTATTGGCCTCCTATAAGTACGATTTTGTTCGAAATTGCAGTCAGTGTATTCATGATCTGGACGGAAGCTTGCTATCTTGAAGTGCTAGTAAGCCTGTCTACGATGGTACCTGTGAGCAACCTAGAGGCAATAGTCACCAAATTCGATACCCCGATGAATCTCACACTCAAATCTATCATCCTTCCGAAGATAGGAATGACATCCAATACATGCCATTACTCTGGCATTTCGGTTGTCTTTCACATGCTATGCAGGAGTTTCACCATCCTCCACCATCCTTATACAAAGCAAGTGAAAGACAGACGGGACCGGGTGCATTGTTTCACTTCAAAAGTTTCATTTTGTTTTTGACTTCACATTCTGTTGGGACTTAACGGCTTAATTATATGTGTGAAGCTGCTGGTGTGTTGAACGTTATCCTAAGTATTTTATACCAGCTGGATTATTTTCTGAGTTTTACGCCCATCGAAGTAGAAGTCGGGACTTGGAAGGAACTTGTGAGCCGTCTTCCTTAGTAGTGACTTCACTGACCAGCGGCTTACTTGGCCTGGCTTTATGAGTTATTTGGGAAGGAGTTTAAATTTTTCCACTCGCTACTAATCTTTCCATCTCTTGGACGTTCCTTAATCACCGCATCCCCCTTTCGGTCTTGAGACTGATAGTTAGGTGTCATTTCAGTGACCTTATCACAGAGTCATACTGCCGCTCTAGTGAGACCTCGCTTCCTCGCTTCGATGGCGCATATGGATAACTGAGATGCAGTTTTATTTGACTGAGGTCTAGCTTTGGTAGGCGGACTATCAAATACCGAATTCGTAGCGTTTTGGATTTGGAACCAATCTGCATTTGGCTTGTTGGTTTGTATCATATTCGCGAGCTGTCTTGACAACTGCTGCCGACAGACTTCCTTAAGCACCGAATCTTGCTGCCAGTGGAAATCATAGAAGCGAGTGTTCATCTTAGCGGCTGGAAAACGAGCCGCAACACTGGCGCGACCAGGGTTGTGATCTGAATCCGTACACGTGTTTCAGAAGAAGCTACAGGCTTGAACACAAGACTGTCACTTATAGCTAGTTGATGTATAGCCAGTCTGAATGACTAATTGGATACGATTCTTAAGTTTACCTGAAAGATTGAGCTTGCGACATGTAAGTCGTGAGCAGCACACAGTCATACAAAGTGGTCGCCATTGTCGGTTATGTGGGCATATACACCAAGTATTCCGCCGAGAAGGCTCTCAAGATTGTCTATTCTACCCAACTGGTCATTAAATTCGTCACCTTTGACTATAATATAAATGCACCTGGCCGTTCTATGGAGCCTTGTACGTTTTCCATAAAATCCACTGTTGTCACTGTTGTGGTATGTTAAAGGTGTGAAGAGGTAGAGAACAGTTTTCGCTTTTGAATTTCCTTGTTGATTTTGACTGACACGGTGAGTCTGATGACATACACTCGGCTGTGTACGTGAACCCAGTCAAGCAGAGCATTCTGAACTGTTGCACTCACACCACTGAGATCATGAGGAGTCGATTCCGGATCTACTGACGCCTGGAATATAGTCCGTGAAAAAAATTGAACTGACTTGGATCGTGTACAGAGACACTACTGTAGTAGAGTCACGTTTGCGTGTTTTGGAGACAGCCCACACCAATTGTTAAATAGAAAAAAGTAAGATCATAGGTCTGTTGACGTGCTCAACAAACACTGCTACGTTGAACTAATACCCTGATATTAAGTATGCGGCTTTGGGTTTTTGTCTTTCTGCGTAGAGGGCTGGAAATCGGTGCTGAATTTATAGAGTTTGTATTGCAATGAATATTAAAAGGGGTTGGGGCTGACAGAGTAAGGAGATCAGCCGCCTCCCCTAGGCTGATGGTACTTCTCGGTTGCCTAGGCCGAGGAGGGTTTTTTAAGACAAGACAGTGGAGAACGTGAGGTCTTGTTTAAGGAATTCAACCTGCGAGCCAGCATGTGTTAGGGTTTCTTTGGAAGACTCGGCCTCTAGGCTCAGATTCAAAAGTCTGAACCGACAGGCAGCAGTTGCTAGGGTTTTCTTCGGGAAACCCTCCCGGGGCCAGTGACTTATTGATCTAACCCACTTGTCCGTGGGAGGCTTGCCTAGACGAAGACGTAGGAAGTAAAGCACAACTTTCTCACGTGTCTTTCTCACGTTGTCCGCGCACAACAGGTGCCATCTGAACAGCACTCTTCATCGCTCTTCAAGGGGGAACATAATCACTGCTTCCCAAAATATGGATATGCCGGTCACCTGGAGAATGCATCTTACTACCTTTACACTCCTATTGTAGAGGACAGTATGCCTTACCTAAATGCCGCCTGGTTGTACAATTAATTGATTGTTTTTGGTACTCCTAACATGATCCAATCTTGAGGAAAAAAGTTATAGCCAGCTTAGCCTACAGGATCATTATGGAACACAAATACGACCACGATGTCAATGAAGCAGCCGTCCGTCGAGAAGGAGTACCATATTTTGAACGAGGGCTGTTGGATTTGCACGAAGAAAGTTACGAATTAAAGACATCCAACAACGGACTTTTGGTATGAAAATCTTTATACTTACGAATATTCTTTCTAGCAAAACACGTCAGCATTTTTCTGCCACATACTTTGAACAAGATACTCCGAAAGCATCATATAAGTAGATAGATATCTAATTTCGCCCTGAAGCAAATTCACGATGATCAACTGACTAAGGTAGGTGGAGTAGGGGAATGGAAGATTGCTTTTTCAATTACACATTATCTGGTGACATACTGAAACAATACTTTGGGTACCTAATAGCCAAAGGATACCGTTATCAAGTAATAGACTGTGAGCAAGCACGTGGCCGCTGACACGAGGATAGACTAAGAATCTGTCAGTGCAAATTGCGCTTGAAATCAGGTTCGTGACAGCTGACAGACGACAGTATCTTAAGGCTCAAGATGCTTTTTGAAATATGAAGTAACAAGTGTCAACCAATTTAGTCAGCTTTACTTATCTCAGACAGTTTAGAAATCGCAATGGCTTGGTACCTCTTGAGTCACGGCGCACCAGGCACCCGAAAAGTAATCATAGAGCCAGATGTCACCCACTAGTCCCACGCTTTTCTTTTAAAAATAGTAAGCAGTGTGCTCTTCTGCGAAGGTAGAGGTTCAAGTTTCTATATCAAACCCCACTTTATTCAACGTTCCGTAATCCGCTGGTTTGCGCTTTTCATTTACAGTGCCATTGAAACCTGAGGCTCGCCTTATGTCCTAAAACTAGCAAGTAGCTTCCTTGAGTGCTCTGATTGGTGCTGAACCCGTTACCCAACCATGTGGTATGATGCAAGCTCCAAGTATTCGCTGTTGTTGTTGTCGTCGTCTTTGGTGTTGACGATGAGAGCGGTGGTGGTGGCGGTCGTTATAATGGTAATGGTGAGACGAGAATAGATAAAAGACAGGGTGGGTCCCACAGCCCACACCGCGCATGTCTTTACGTCCACAAGACATGCGCCGTGTGGGCTTTTGGACGAGAGTCAGTGAAGCCCATGGTGGAATATGGACCGATGTAGATCAAAAGACTTGATGAACTTGATAGTGTGAGGCTCATATGTAGTGTTAGTTGTTCCCTAAACACTTCTCGACCCCGCACCATCTACAGTGACGTGTGAACATGTTCACTGGTGATCGAGACAGTATTAGGATTCCTCTTGCTCTTCCTAAACACTTTGAATCAGTATGGGCTCGGTCAACAGGGTATGTATACAAAATAGTCCAAAGACAAAAATGACTTTGAGTTGGAGGGCTTGTAGAGAATTATGGTATCTTTAGTAAACTAAAAGAACAGTCTGACAACGAGTAAACTGCTGTTGGCATCCGTTCGTGCTCTTTGATTATCTTCGACTTAATGTTTATGTTTAATTGACGCGTGGAGGGGGGTTGACTGACATACGAAAAAATTAACAAAACTTTGTATGAAACGTTTCAAAACGAGCTGGTAACCGCATACAAAGGCACGACTACGACTAAGGATAATCTAGAAACAATTGTAAAAGACAATTCGGCTGTTTTATCATTGGTGAATTCAACCGTTTTTAGCTTCTGGAGAGATCACCCCCAGGGGAAGCCGACACGCGAATGAACCCGCTTTAATTGGGACAGCTGAAGCTTCAGCTTGTCAGTACAATCCCTCCATGAAAGAGCTAACTTGTAGAACGCATTACCCCTACTCGGTCTCTTGAGAGACTTCTTCTGAATGCGGCAACCTTATTAGAAAGTTCTCCTTTTCCAACACTATTTGAAGCAGCTGAACTAGCCGACCTTGGTTAGTCCACCTGGCAGAAATAACCAGGTCTCTCTTCGGCAATCACCAATCGCATCGCTCAAGTGTGAACACATTCTCCTGTTCAGACGTGAAAATTCAGATGCGTCCAACGTGCGCTGGTGGAGTAGTGGTTTACGCTCGTCTCGCATGTCAGATGTCCGGGGTTCAAATCCCGGCACGGGCATTGGATATGCACTGCTGATGAGCTCTAGTAAGAGCGAAACCCGGGTCCAGTGCTTCGCTTTGGTTTGGACTCACCGGAACAATTACGCCAGAAAAGGAGGACTACCGTTCAAACGAGAGTGGTGTGGCTGTGAACAAAATTTAAAAATGGGTGAATTTTCTAGTGTCAGAGAGTAAACGAAAACTTTACATGGCGATGGATAAACAGTGGGCATGAATTATAATCATACACAAAGGCAATTAGTATTACTCGTCATGTTCACTCTTCATACTGTGAGGACCATATGTGGACGATTATGAGACACAAATTCATTTCTACCATCATTTGAGAAACTACATTGGTGTTCAGCGCTTCTAATCAATTAGTCAGATCATTTATACAAACTGTCCTCCAGCAGCTTTAACGAAAACTATACTCTTAAATAAAAATTTCGGCAATTTATTTCCACGCAGAATACTTTTCATGCAAACCTGTCGTAAACATGGTCTGTCAGGCGCAAAAGACCTGGTGCGAAACAAGTGGTAAAGGGTTAAGTTAAGTAGTTAAGTTAAGTAGATATATAACCGTCATAGACATAACACACCAGTCATGAGGTTGCTGAAAACTCATCGACAGCCCATGACCAGTTTCATTCTTCTTGGGGCTCATCAGCTAGGTGCAGTCCCTGAAATTCCGTCAACCTTATGTTCTACCTGATCCCTAATTTCACGAAATTCGATAGACGCACTCATTTTCATACCAATTTGGCTATCACGTGAACCCAGCTGAAGCACTCGGTTGTTGTTTTTCTTCTTACCTGATGGGCCCAAAGAAGGACGAAATCGGTCGTGGGCTGTCAAAGAATTTTCATCAACCTTGTAAGTAGTGCGAGTACACATGTATCGCGATATCTCGAATATAGCACAAACTGAAACATGAGGCGACCTAGTGCAGCACATTCAGTTCAAGCAGACCATCACAAACAACAGAGTCTGCTGGATTCAGTTGAGTCTTCGGTCAAAACCACACTAGTTGAAAATGATTGTATTTATTGAATAGCCACCAGTTGTGTGGTAAAGGTTAACTGGTAAATCTGATCTGTAAGCATGGGTTTTCTCGCCCTGATTTCAACATTATTGGTAGTGAGTGATGTAGTTCTCTTCATCTTCACCTTTTAGTTATTTTATTTTGGAATATTCTATACGTTTCATTGGGTTCTGGGTGTTGGTTATTGGGGGGCGAGACGGCCCAAGTGGTTAGAGGGCGAAGTTACTGACCGAAAGGACCATGGTTCGAACCCGACCTCCACCTCTCGACTTCCCCTCTCTATGCTTGAGCAGCTTGGCAGTATCCCGGTCCTCGTGTCACCTTCGGGTTGTATGGCAGTTACGCACCGAAAGGGTGTTACAGCTGAACGATACTTCCATCTACTTATGTTATCTTCAAGCCGATCGGGAGGTCTATATTTGAAGATAACGAAAAAATCTATGTATAACAGGTATCTGCGTAAATTCGGTGGAGTCCACACCAGACTTCAAATGTTGACGCTTCGGATTATAAAAGCCAACAGTAAGATGAAGATCCCATCATGTAATCTGGTCATCATTTAGGAGGGAAAGTTCGATTGGCCTCAATTCATGGGGCTATTTAGCAAATAGTCACGCGCTTTCGATCCGAGCTGGTAAGTTGGAGTTTCCAGATTTGCTTCTTGAGTTCTACAGATCAGTCACCTGTTTCTTTGAGGCGATCCAAAACTCGTTGCACAATACTGTGTGTTCGAGTCTTCATCCGGATTTGAGAGGTATGCAGAACCGGTTTGAAAGAGGAGTGAAACCTCCTTGAGCGTTTTCCGGCATAAACCGGTAGGTCCACCTGAGATGCTTTTCCATAAGTGATCACCAGAATCTCCCGCCCACATCCAAGTTCAGCATCCTAGAATCACTGGGCCTTTTTTCTGGAACAAATGTTTACTATCCCATGATATTCCTGAATTGTTTGCTCCTGTCGCCGGTGCGCCATCGATCCATTTGTGCGCTATTGCTGATTAGGTAGCTTATCACAGCCACCCAACTTG